TTTTTGAGACAGAGTCTCACTTTGTTGCTCTTGGTAGAGTGCTGTGGCCATCACAGCTCACAGCAACCTTGAACTCTTGGGCTTATGTGATTCTCTTGTTTCAGCCTCCGAAGTAGCTGGGACTGCAGGCACCCACTAAAACGCCCAGTTTTTTTTTTTTTTTTTTAAGAGACAAGATCTCTCACTTTGGCCTAGGTTGATCTCAAACTTGTGAGCTCAGGCAGTCCACCCACTTCGGCTTCTCAGAGTGCTGGGATTACAGGCCTGAGCCACTGTACTCGGCCCCAGTATGGAATTTTTTAATAGGGTACTAAAAATATTGTGGAATTAGATGGGGGTAAAACTTTGTAAATATGTTAAAAAACACTGTTTAAAGAGATGAATTTTATGTTATATGGATTACACTTTTAAAAAATAACCTTCAGAATGTCAAGGCTTGGGAAGTGTAAACCTTTTGAGTTAGTGATATTTTAGAATATGAAAATGTGTCACATACCATTATGTACCTAGAAAGGTGATTTGATACTCAGTCAGGAGAATAAGTAAGTAGTATTTATTGGATATTTTTCATTTCAGTCTTTGTTCTATGTATTTTTTAAAACCATAATTTTACATCCAAATAAGTATTTAATAATAAAACTTATTAAATAAGCATTACAAAAATAATATAAAGTAATAAATTTTATAAACATTTTTATAAAAACTACTTTTATTGTTAGAGACCTACCATCTCTTAAGCTTTGGTAATGTCAAGTATCATAATATTCTGAATGTAGTATGTTAGCATTTTGTAACTTTTTGTTTTTAAGAGACTTTTTTGAAGCTAACATTTTAACTTTATATCTGAAATGTTTTTAGGAACAAAATTGTATCTGTTTTTCTCAGAAGAGAATTGCACAAGGTAAGAAACCGTTAATACAGTAATACAACAAATATAGTTGAATATAAGTTTGATTGCCCTTGATTTTTAAAAAACTCTTTTCTCATGTATTTATTTTGTATCTTTTATTGATTATTTCATGGTTCTCACAAATTTATTAGCTACTCTTTTACTACCTCAGAATTTACTACAAAAGTGACTTTGGGGAGTAGAGGATTTATAGAAGCTGTCTTAAGGGGTTTAAATTAGAGGACATTGTTTATTTATGTTACTATCTATGGAAATTGTATAACCCCCACATTTAGTTTAAAAGCAGAATGCTTCCTACCAGGTAGATAATAAAAAATTAATGAATACATATATATACATATTTATACTCACACACTTTTAAACAAATTTCTGAATGATTACCTTTACAATGGATTTTGAGTCACCATTGATTTATATTATTATATGTAGATTTCTGAAAGGTGAAATTTACCTTGAAATCAGATGCTTGGCAGCTTTAAAAAGTTACTTTGGTTAAATTTTCTCAGGATTTTTTTGAGATAGGTAGCAGTGATCACTGATTAATTAATTCAGCCTGTCATCTGGAAATGCTTATAAAGTGAATTATAAAGATTGATAACTCTCTTTTTTTCTTCTTCTTCTTTTTTTTTAGTTAGAGTCTCACTTTCTCACTCTGGTAGGGTACCATCATAGCAATCTCAAACTCATGGGCTTGAAGCCATTCTCTTGCCTCAGCCTCCTGAGTAACTGGGACTACAGGTGCCGCCACAACACCTGGCTATTTTTTGATTACAGTTGTCATTGTTATTTAGCTGGCCTGGGCCAGGTGCGAACCTGCCACCCTCAGTGCATGTGGCTGCACCGTAACCACTGTGCTATGGGTAGCGAGCCAATACCTCTGTTTCTTATATGTTTTTCTTTTTCAGTATCTCATGTCCTAAGGGGAACCTGTACTCTGAAACACACCTTTCTCCCTTTTTTTGAAACTGCTGTAGATTTAGTTAATCAAGTCAGTTTTTATCCTACTCACCAAAAGCAAAAGTTTAAAATAAAGGGGCCCGTTAGCTAAGGAGGAAAAGGGAAGAGCAAATTACCAAGATTCTTTCCAGGTTTCCTAGAAAACTTTTTTCACTATTTTTTTCTTACACTTGTAGGAGGTTGAGGGAAGGACTAGAACTTAGGGGTAGCATTGTCTAATCTTCCAGGACACTGCTCACTGAAGGAGCTAAAAAGTGGGGTGTGGGGCACACACACATCATTTAGTTATGTATGTATGTATGTACTCAGAAACATTCATAATTATTATTTTTAGAGTTAAAAAATATCAGGGGAAGATTAATTCACATTTATGTAGTTATTACCCTGCTACCTACTTAATGATATCAAAAGGACAGTGACAACTTAAAAAGATGTTTGTACACTTTCAAAAAATGATTGAAATGATAAATTATATGTTATGTATTCTGTTAACCACAATTTTGTTTGAAGTTTCGGTTACTTATTTATTATGAAAGAGGCTAACTTCATCTGACTCACTAGTTAACCTCCATCCAGGAGTGTCGGGTTAATGGTGCTCCTCCCTGTGTCATGTCCATCACCGCTGTTGATGAGAGCACCTTTCTTCTCCTCCGTTTATATTCATTCTCTATGCAAATGATCTTAGTGTTTGATACGGTTTTGTACTAGAAAAGGTATTATTATTTTATGTGCTTTATTTTAATTTATATAAAAAATAAATACAAGAAAGAGAATATGGCACTCTACACCATGCTAATCTGAGGATCCTATAGGGATAAAGCCCTCTCCTTGACTAGGATATGACATACATAAATATAAAAGCTAATTCTTGTGCTCTGTTCCACTGTCCTCCCCGTTCCCAAGATCTGGCCACGTTGCTGAGTGTTCATCTAGTTTGTTTTATCCAACTGGTATGTTGTATTCCAGGTTGATGTTTATTAAAATGAGCCTGATAAATGTAAGATTCTGTAAATGTGCAAGAGACCTTAAAATGGACAGTTAGGAAAAGACCAATTTGTGCTCATTTCTTTATATCAGAATTGAAATTAAAGAATGTGAATTAGGTGCCATGGAAGTTTAGAGTGAGAGACAAAATATATAAACATCTGTTTTAGTAGGCTGCTTATCTAACAGTTTGATGGAATAGTCAGAGAAAAGGGTGCTGGAGTTTAATAAAAACCTGTCTTTTTCTCCTAGAAATAGAGTATTAAGACACTAAGGTATCAGTGTTAGTCCATAAAAAGACTAATATGGAACCTTCCTATTACCTATCACTTACTAATTTCTGTATTATATTATGTTTGAATATCTTATTTTTCTTCTACTTCAAAGAAAATTCTTCTTTGAATTCTCATTGCTGAATCTAACATGGAATCAGAAAGGAATAATTACCAATACAATTACCAGTTCTAAATTTGGGGCACAGAAACACAGTTTTATCTGTACTTGTGTGTTATCAGGAGGCACACTTTCTGTTTGATCCCCGCACTAGAAATCATCTGGGAACTTCAGAAACTCCAAGTCTGTGGTGATGGTGTTCCCAGTGGGGTAAAGAGGAGAAGGACAAACTCTCGTGAGAGGACGGATCTGGCCCCTAAGTAGAGGATAATGCCAGCAGCGATCAGATCTGGAAGGGGTTTCCATTGGTGGAAGAAGTTGAGAGTACCTTGTTGGGAGCAGTTTATCAAGTGTGAGGTGAGCATCTTAGGGGTGCTTTATTTCTGGGGGTGGGGAAAAATGTGGAGTGATTGAATGGAGGAATAGAAATAGGGAAGTGTCTTTGTTTGTGCTACATAACAAAATAGCACAGAGTGGGTAATTTATAAAGAGCACAAATTCTGGAGGCTCAGAAGTGTAAGACCAAGGTGCTAGGAGTTTGGTTGTCTGGGGAGGGTTCCATCCTCCAGAGGGAGAGAATGCTGTGTCCACACATGGCAGAAGGTGGAAGGACAAGTGAGACTAACAGTGAGCGAACCCTGTTCACAAGGAAGGACCCTCATGACCGAAACATTCCTACAGTCCCCACCTCTTAATCTTACCACATCGGCCATTAAAATTTCAGTGGCTGAATTTTGGAGGAGACACATTCAAACCATAGCAGTAAGGGAATTCACATGTCTGTTAAAGTTAGACCAAGCTTGAGGGTTTTTGAAAGAAGTAGTTATTTGTATATTAACACTTAAGTATTTATGAGCTTTTTGGAGGGAAGGTCAGAAACTCTGGAAGTTGATAGAGAGTTGGTGTCCTGTGCATTGTTGAACACTCTCGCTATCCTTTTCAAAAAATAATAATTCAGAGAATTAGACATTAGGCATCATAGTCCTAGTTCTGTGGTTTCTTTAATTTTTGAGTCTTTTGTATGGTACAGTCATTTCATTATTTTCACTTTAATTTGTTACCTCAGCCCTGCGTAAGTAGAATAGCTAGTATTCTTGGGTGTTGCCCATAGCTCCATGGGTAGGGTGCTGGCCACATATACTGAGGCTGGTGGGTTCAAACCTGGCCCAGGCCAGCTAAAATAACAATGACAATTGCAAGAAAAAA